TCCTCAGTAGAAGATCAATTCTGTCTCACTCAGGGGCAGTACTTCCTAGCCTTTCTCACCCTTCAAAGTTTGTCCAGCTTCCTCATGAGATGCGGTTAATAAGCACAGAATGGCCTTTCTGTGGAAAGATGAGTTTTCTGGGAGGTGAGGTGGGAGACATTTATGTCGCAGAGGTAGTTATGAAAACAAAATCCTCTCCCAAATCCATACCAATCACACTTCATTGTAAAGGCAGATGCATTCTACTTAATACTAATAGGGAAAAGTCACTCAGCTGCCTGTGTTTTTAAGATTCATGATCTCTTATGATGTTTACTAACTGAAGCTTGACTCAGAGCGGCCTTTCACAGTCACTAATGTGGTCAAATATTTGATGAGATGGGTCTTTTCTTGATGCTTCCTTTTTCAAAAACATTCTCTGATATTTGATATTGCCTTTCTGAAACTAATTTTTAAAGTCAGCATACAAAATAGTGGATTTCATTCTGGCATTTCCATACACACATGCTTTCCTTTTATTCCTCCCCGCTCTTCTCCTGCTGGTCCCCTTCCACCTGCCCATTAGTCTTCCCATCTGCTTTCATGTCACATATTCTTACTAGTTTATTTTTCTAAATGACTTTATAGAAATGGTATCACAGTCAATACAATTTTTGTTGAGATCTGAAAATGAGAATAACTTTGTGACAAGTGACTATAGATAAATATGTTTCCCTAGTCAGGATCAAGTCAGAGGTCGCCTGTTAAATATCACATTTTAGTGTAATAAATGTTGACACTATCATGAATAATACAAGAGTATTCCCAAGTATCAAGAACTTTGTTGCTAATGTGAATCTGATTTCTTGTATTTTCTAGCTACATACATAAGAATGATAATGACTTTTGTTATCTTTAGTCCACTAATTCTGCTCAATTCATAATATTTGTCCTCTTCAAGGTTACACCCATGCAACATATGGAATGCTGATCTTCAATCTTCCTTTCCATAAAACATTGATTATATTGTCAGAAGATCTAAGTACGGTTAAATAATGGATAGCAACAGCGATCATGACTGTTCTGATACTATCGTTACAGTACACCTTAGTGAACATTTGTAAGATGTGGGGAAGTAATCTAAAGTACCGCTCCCGGGGTAATTCACCTGGTTCTTTAAAGAGGTCCTAGAAGTAGTTACCCTTTGGTTTCCTTATCTTTAAACAATTAGGCTAGATTGGTGGTTTTCATAGTCCTAGGGCAGTACTTGGGCAGCAAGGAAAGGCTAAACAGGTGGGGCTTTGGACCAGATCAATTTCACTTTTTAAAAAATAATTATTTTATGTGTATGAGTGCATTGTCTGCATGTATGTAAGTACATCTGTGTTGTGTAATGCCCACAGAGATCCCCTGGAACTGGAGTTATAGACAGTTATTAGCTGCCATGTGGGTACTGGGAACTGAACCAGGGTCCTCTGCAAGAGCAGCCAGTGCTCTTAACCACTGAGCCATCTCTCCAGCCCCAACTTTTATCTATTTCTATTTTTTAATCTTTGAAAAAAGGTTTAAGAGTAAAAAAAATTCAAACATTTTCATGAGAATCCAATGTAATATATATATACATATATATACATATATACACACACATATATACATGTATATATATACACACACACACACACACACACACACACACACACACATACACACACACACACACACACATACAATTTAATGACTTTCCTGGAAGTAGGCCTCGTGGCACAGGCTTATAATCCAAACAACTCAGGAGGCTGAGGCAGGAGGATTTCAAGGTTCAATACATGCCTGGGCTACAGAGCAAGTTCAAGGCTATCTGAGCAACTTAGTCACACTCTTTCAAAGTAAAAGTAGGCCAGTAAGAAGGCTCGGCTGGTAAAGGCACTTGCTTCCCAGCCTGACAATCTGAGTCCATCCTCAGAACCAATGTGGTGGAAAGAAAGAACTGACTTCAACAAATTCTCTCTCTCTCTCTCTCTCTCTCTCTCTCTCTCTCTCTCACACACCACACACACACACACACACACACACACACACACACACACACACCCCTCTCCCTGAAATAAATGAATAAAAAGTAAAATCTGGGTGGGGGTATAGTTCACTGGTATAATGCTTGCCTAGCACGTGTATGATCCTAGGTTCAATCTCCATTCTCCCAGACCCCATTCCCTATACAAACAGTGTTTCCTGGAAACTGAGGAGCAGCTTTCCCATAATGTCTATTTAGTATGCACGAGACCTAGGTTTAATCCCTGGCACCCTGTATGCCCAGAAAATTCTATAATCAAGCTCTATTTATCTTACTCTTACTATGATTTCTACATCAGGCCAGTAACATGTTCAAAAAAACAAGGAAACACAGGGTTTAGAAATACATACACAATTAAAGTATGCAAAAAAAAAAAAAAAAGCCAGGGAAGAGAACATCTCTAGTAGCAAGTGCCATGTCTGTGATGTAACAGGAACTCCATACAACAAATGAGCATCAAAGGGCTGAAAAAATATATGAAAATACATGCATTTCCACATGGGTAAATGACAGGAACATGGCTATTTCATCCTTTTTTTTTTCCTTTTTAATTTGGCAATCAGGAAAAATATCATACTAAACTGAGGTTTCTTTCAACTATGAAAACCAGTTCATTTCCATCCTTATACACTGATGCTCCTTAAGTTATGGTGGGTTACATCCCATAAACGTATAATCTGAACACACTGTAAGTTGAGATACATTTAATGTACCTGATCTATAGAACATTATAAAATCAATAATTTAAAGTTATTTTTAAAATTTTATTATTTTTATGTGTATGTATGTACTGCCTGCATGTAGGTAAGTGCATCCATGTCATGCAATGACCGTGAAGGTCAGAGAGGCTATTGGAATCCCTGGGACTGGAGTTATGGACAGTTGTTAGCTGCTATGTGGGTGCTGGGATTCAAAGCCGGGTCTTCTGCAAGAACAACCAGTGTTCTTAATCGCTGAGCCATCTCTCCAACCTCAACAATTTAAACTCTCATAAGGAGCCTATGCATTGATGATTATGTCCTAGCTACTCTCCTTAACTCCATTAAAGTCAAGAATAGTTACTCTATTTTTGAACTATTTTGCACCTAAATGGAAAATCAATCTATTTATTTATTTATTTATTTGAATGTGTGTAGACGCACACATAAAAACAGTACATGTGTGGAGGTCAGAGGACCATTTGCAGTAGTTCTCTTCTACCATGTGGGTCCCAGGGAATAAACTCAGGTTGTTGGGCTTAGCTGCTGAGCCATCTTGCCAACCTCTATGTATTTCTTATATTAAGTCTATGTTCTTCTTGTGTGTAGATACTTCTAGTACTGTATTAATATAATATGTCAAGTCTTAAGTTCTTTGGACCCCAAACATATCCAACTTTATTTTCTGTGAATTTCCAAGCTAGCCAGTTGATAACCTCATGAACATCAATAGGGCCATTCATGCTTCTGTTCTTGACTGTTTTTATTTAGGAATCCAATAGCATGCTTTGCCTCCTGCCTATTCAAACACAGGCGAGGGTTAGCTTCATTTCTGAGGTCTCTAAGATAATTCTGGTATTAGTTTTGCCTTATTAATTATAGCTAATAACTCAGAACAAAAAAAATACACCAAACCTTAAAACTCATACAAAATACTTTTCAAAAGGTTGGGGAAAATGTCTCTATACTAAGAAGCTCTCAAGCATATTTTTACTCTTAATCCTTAGTCTCGAGTCTATTCCATGTTATATAGTATTTCATCATATAAAGTATCAGAGTTCTTAATAACAAGGAGCTTACAAACTTCTAACAGCGCCCAATCTGTAGGCTCCCTGACAGCAAGAACTTTGATTTATACCAACTTGTTGTCTCTACTTTTAGCTCTAGGCATTCATCAAATGCTTGCTCATTAAAAGGAAAACACTTGAAAACCAAATTATCACACCACTTATTACAGGTACGGAGCAATCAAGTCTTCTAATTTAGTTTCTCTAACTTTCCACAGCAAATTCCAGAATATCCTATATATTTCCATTTAAAAATAAATATTGTTAACACCATTGGGCAAGTAAGACATATGGCAATATAGAATGCTTTGGTAGCACTGTGGCTGTGACTTAAATTACTGTGGATCAAACTGCCAGAAGCTGAGAAGATAACTGAATTCCCTCTTCCTTTATCCTGGAGTGACGATACAAGATAGCTGCATCATGCCTATCGATGAAAATATTTAACAATAAAAAGCTGAAAACACTGCTTTATAACTTAAATAATATAGTCTTACCACCAAATGTTTTAGTCATAGGATCTCTTGGAAGCTTGAATGGAAGCAAACTTTAGGCTTTAATTATGGATGAAGCCACACAATTCTGGAAGCACAGTATAGCAAGCAGCCAAAAATGTTACACATATGATTTTACTCCAAATGGGCACATTGGCCAAATGGTGAGGCCCTGTGCAATCATACACTTTGACCACCTACTCCATCACCATCAAAGGGAATCTAAGAAATCAGCTGTCACACACAAGAATCCCACGTCCTCACTGTGGCTTTAGTGGCAAAATCAAATGGTCCTTGTTTTCACGACGCTCAAGAACTGAGTTGGATCTGAACACATCAAAGTTACTTTAAGATCTCTGATGTTCTTCTTTCAAATAAAAGAAGACAAAAAAATGGAAGGATCCACTTTCTGTTTCTTCTTGCACAAAGGTGACCTTAATATCCTTCCTGTCGTCATTGATTTTTCTTTTTTTTTTTTGGTTGACAGAAAATATTTAGCATATGTAAACTTCAATTTTTTTCAGTTAAAAAAATGAGAATCCATATGCTATTTGCCCAACTAACAAAAGATGTTGGCTCATTAACTCTGCTTATTACTAGGAACAAAGAAATTGTGTAAATAAATCACAAAATGCATGTAAATATCTTTAGAAAGGGGAAAAATCTCAGTACCCAAGTCAAGGACACTTACCTGCAAAAGACTAAGATTCCTTTTAAAAGCACTCTCAGCTGTTTGTAGGTGAGATGCCTTTTCCATGTTTTCATCTCCAAATTTATTCTTCATTTTCTGAAGTAACATTAATCTTTGTGATACTCTACAAGAAAGTGGAGATTACAGAGAGTGGAAAAAAAATGAAAAAAGCAAACATTTTACTTCCTGATCAATATATAACATTTTAAAATTGCATCTCACTTCAACTATAGCCTATTTTGAAAGTCAATTGTTACATCAACTAATGAGACAATGATAGGATTAGGGAGTTCACTAAGCCTAAGTCAATCTGGGTAAAATTATTTTTATTTTCATTAGCATATTCTCTATATAAGCCATAAGTACATGCTTGTGTTTTTAGCCTCTGTGGTCTTTTGAAATTATTTTAGAGTGTTGAAGATATGTAATTTTTGGTGAAAATGCAAACTGTAATACATATCTCCTAGTACACATAGTTATATATACCTCCCCACACATATACATTGATATAACTTGCTATAGGAAACCTTCTGCTTAACACTTCAGTACCCCTGAATCTCATGTTACACATTTAGAATTGTGCTAAACTTCCATATGTTTGAAGAAGCAATAAAAATATTTTTTTATCTCTTTTTCCAAGAGAAAGATGATGGTTTGCTACATGAGTGAGAGGCAGGGTATATGTGTGCATGTGTACGACAAGGTGAAAAGGTGACCGAAGAGAGATGAAAAAAGTGAGTAAATTCTCAAACTACTTCACTATATGTAATACATTTGTAAAGTTTCTTGTGGGTCAGCTGTTCATTTTCTAAGTTTTTGAGTTTTCTTAAATAATAAGAAAATATGTCAAACAGCTAAAAATATATAAGTAGTAAAAGTCCCATGCCAGAACTGAAAACTGAGGTTGTTGCTGTTAAGAACAGTATCTTAGAAGGTCAAAGAACTGGGGCTGGAAATTACACAAAAGGCTGAGAATCCAGAGACTGATGTAGACTGTTACCTGTAAGAACATGGCTACCCAAGCAATATACTGGACCAAGTGTAAAATGATTAAAGAATATGACATTAGAACAGTCAAGCAAATTAAAGGATAGGGAGGTACAGGTCACATGCCATGAACAAAAAGCTGGCCCTGGATAAGAAATTTAAAGTCTATTAAAAGACAAGTGTGAGGTTGGAGGGATAGCCCAGCTGTCATGAGCACTTGCTGAGTTTAGTTCTTAGCACCCAAGTCAGGCGGCTCACAACAGACTATAACTCCAGCTCCAGGGGATTTGACACCCTCTTCTGGACTCCACAGGCACCTGCACTCGCATGTGCACATTACAAGGACCAAAGAGAGACAACACATATACACATAGGTTTTGTTCTTTCAATCATCTTAAAAGAAAAAAAAAAAAAAGCCAAGTATGATGTTGGCTATCCTGATTCCAAGCACTTGGGAGATGGAGGCAGGAGGATCACGGTCTCAAGATCAGTTTTGGCTATGCAGCAAGTTCAAGGCCACTCTGGGTTACATGAAAATAAAAGTCTATTCAATAATGTAGAGCCTAGAAAGGACAAAGTGTGAATTTTCTAGACATTAGTAACAAAAAGGTATAGAGAATATGACTGTACCTTTTAATCTTAAGGGATAATGAGATAATTACCTATGATAAAATCTACTATGTCAGAAAATAAAGGCACCACCACCACCCTTTTTTTTTGTTTGTTTTCTTGCTACAGGTTCTCCCTCTAGTCACAGCTGGCCTGGAACTCAATATGTAGACTTGGCAGCCTTGATCTGAGATCTGCCTGCCTTGGGCTCTGAGTGCTGGGATTAAAGGAAGGTACCACCACACTTTTGTCTTCCCTGTCCAGGGTCCACTAAGAAATTCAGCACACATGTATTTGGATGGTCCTTTTCAAACACTTACATTTCTTCATGTCTTTTAGAGAGGTGAATTTCTTGAGCAAACAAAGATGTCATCTTTAGTCAAAGCTGGGCTATACGTTTCTGCTAAATAATAAAAACATTCAGTTACTTCTACACATACTCAGCTATGCCACAGTTGATGGTTTTGGTACTGCAACAACCCATTGGTTCTCTAGAACAGAAAATAAAACTGAAGATTCAATGATGTGTAAAATGAATGAATGCACTCAAAACATATTTTTATTCATGATGCATGTTTTTTGCATATGCCAGATTCACCCAAAACACGAGCAATCAGGTGATCTCAACACATTCCATATTTTCTTCCTTTCGCCTCTCAAAGTCTAATTTTAATCAGAATTAAAACAAGCAGCTGGTACTAAGACTAGTGAGTTTTATTGTCTGAATAGAGAGAAGAAATACACTCGATGTAAAATTCAACACAGGGATACTAACCTTTATGCATACACACACACACACACACACACACACACACACACACCCACACACACACACACACACACACACACACACACACGCTGAGGCAAACAAGTATGAGAACAACAGGAAACTCGTCTTTCCTTTATTGGAAGACTGCCCAGTCCTACTAGTGCTCTTCCAAATAGGAAGCTATGTTTTCATGTGTAACTGTGAAGGAAAGCACATTATGTACCTTCACCTTACTTATTGGTGGCTCAGCACTCTCATTTGGAGAATTTTGCAAAACCAGGTGCAAGTTCACCTTGGCCAAATATCTTGGACTAATATAGATGGAGGACTTTGAAGGTTCTTGGCTTTAAAAAAAAAGCACATCATCTGGATTGACTCAGCAGCTAAAGGTGCCTGACTTAAAGGAAGAAAAAGACAAGATGCTGCTTCCTGGAAAGAGGGTTTCCTAAACTTTTCTGAAATTCTGACTACAGACCCTGCCCTCCTGGAGGAGGGGCGACAGACCCCACTCCCTGGAGGTGTGTGACGACAGACACCGCCCCCTGGAACGGTGACGACAGACCCCGCCCTCCCGGAGGTGTGACGACAGACCCCGGTCCTCCTCGCCCTCCTCCAGGTCTGGCTTTCTACCGAGCCCGCTCAGGGCCCTCGGGAAAGTTCGTCCAACTTGGCAGTCCTCTCCACCGCAAGGCAAATTCTGGCGTTTGAACAGAAGATGCGCCATCCCAACTGAACCGACGTCCCGAAGATGAGCCGAGGTCCACCCCGCCTCCCGCTTTCCGCCCGGGAGGACGCTTTAGAGGTTTCCTTAGCACCCCGTGTTCTCCCGCCCCCCACGGAGCTTCCTCCTCACCAGCCCCACGGCCGCGATGTCGCAGCCACACTGCGCCCACCGCCGAGCTCTTCCGGGAGCGCCAGGGACTGCGCCTGCGCGGGCGTTTCCGAGCGGCCCTGGGCGTGGTCAGACGGCTATGCTGACGCATGCGCAGCTCTCGGTGACGTCACCGCCCTCTATAAAGGTCGCTGTGTTGGCGGGGTAGTTGAGTGAGGTGCTGCTGGTCTGGAGAGGCGTCAGCTCGTGGTTCGCGGGGACTCTGCAAGGTAGCCTGAAGGGACAGTGGAGCAGCACCGCCACCTGAGGGTGGACAGGCCTTGAGGGCTCCAGGGCCTCAGTCCTTGCGTTTGTGGAACGCGGGGGGGGGAGGGATGGGTACCACCGGGCTGGCTGAGCGGACCGGATGGCAGTGGCGCAGGTGATACTGGTGATTCCAGGCGTAGCTGGAAACCACAGGCCTCAGGACACGCTCCGGCGACGCTCCCTCCATGTGCTGAAGGACATCCTTGAGCATAAGTCTGTTCATTGAAATAACTGACCTACGTAGTACTGCCTAGTCTTAGTTTACGGAAAACGACCCTGAAGAGAGGGAGTCTACCTGAAGGTTTTCAGCCCGCAAAGAAAACTCCAGGCATTAACATTTTTGCCCACATTAAATTGAACACGTGCCTTAGAACTTTTGAACGCAATTCCTTCTTTGCTCCTAAAGCCCCTCAGGTAGTTTTATTTCCCCATGTCTTTGAGTGTATGTGTGTCTTTGAGACAGGGTCTCCCTGTAGTCCCAGCTAGCCTGGAACTCATTAGGAGATCAGGCTGGGCTCCATCGCACATAGATAGCCTGCCTCTGCCTCCTGAGTGCTGGGATTATAGGTGTGTCCCCATCACGCCCAGTCTCAATTTCCGCATATCTTTTATGCTGCGTCTTCAGCAGAGGCATTCTCTTGATCCCCAGTATGAGCGCCATCTTTTCCTCCAGCTTCATTTTTCTCTACACCACAGTAAACTGCCGTATGTTGTATAATGATTTTTTGTTTATGAGTGTACCCGTCACTTAATTTGAACTTTTTTTTTTTTCTGTCTTTTTGAAGCAGGGTCTCCCTGTAGTCCCAGCTGTCCTGGAACTCGCTATGTAGAACAGGCTGGCCTTGAACTCACAGAGATCCACCTGCCTCTGCCTCCTAAGTGCTGGGACTACAGGCGTGTGCCACCACGCCCGGCTAATTTCAACGTTTTTAAAGATTTTTTATATTTTTAAGATTTCATTTTTGTTTATGTGTATGTGTGTGTTTGGGGGGGGGGTGTTGGTATGCTGTTTGTGTCCATATGCTGGCAGAGGCCAGAAGAGGGCATTGGATCCCTTGGAGCTGGCATTATAGCTGGTTGTGAGCCACCAGATGTAGGTGCTGGGAATAAAATTCTAGTCCTCTGGACAGCAGCAAGTGCTCTTAACCACTGAGCCATCGGTAAGGGACTAAACCCTGATGACAAACAGGTTTTAGAGAAATAATAAAGATGACGCATTTCCATCTTCTTGGTCTCTGGCAGGAAGGCCTTATTTATTTTTTAATTCCAACAAGAGCCCTTCAACTTAACTGCTTAGAGTCCAGTAGCCCCAGATATCTCATTTTGAAGATGTGATCTATCAGACTTTTTTGTTTAAGTTGGAAAATCCAAAATTAGGGATTCTTAGTTTCCAAATTCCTCTTTGCATGAGTGGAGAGCTTTATTTGTATGAGTGTGTGTATGTATGTGTGATTCTTTCTCTTTTAGTAAGAATTTGTTAACTTGCTTTCCCCTCGTCCACGATTTTTTCCCTGCCTTTTAATTCTTTAATTGACTGATGAAACAAACCCAATAAGATCCCAAGACTAATAATGCCAATGGCAACAGCCCCAAAGAACAAACATTTTTGTCTTTGGTTTACTACTTATCCTCATCAGCTCGACCTCCCTGACCTAATTTTGAATGAATGAGTGAAATAATTCTGCCTGCTGAACCTGCGCCATAATTTCAGAGAACTTGTCACTTGGCAGGATCTATTTAGTTGATAGACTGTTCCACACCCCTCCTACTTTGTAACAATGGAAAATAGACCCTTGAATGGTCCTATATTCTAGGACCATGTATGAATGAAATAGAGCTTTTGTATGGCTACAAGGCATTCCTGTTTGTATTATGGGGTTTATAAAGGTTTACCCTAAATTAGTTTTAGACTATATGAAATAGAGAACTGAAAGGGTGTATGTTAAAATATTTGTGTGTTGCTTAAGACAAACTTTGTATGCTTCCCTAATTTGTGTGAATTTGCAGTGACACAATTAGGAGAAACTTCCCCATTTTACCGGAAGCCCCCCACCCCAATCTGGACACAGCTGCTGGCCAGTCTAATGAAGGAAATTGCTCAGTAGATGTTCCCTCTTCCCGGTTGTAACATGTTGACAACTTAAGCTATGACATCTGCCTTACTGTTGAACCAAGGATAATTTGGAAAATGTACAACTTTTAGGAAAGCAGTAACCAGAAATATATCACAGAAGCTTAAAGGTTATATAGATAGACTGTGATAATTTATAGCATCCCATAAAATGCTTGCTCTCTACTTAAAGATCTGCTGTGATAGTTCCCTTCTTATGACATATCCCACAGATGAGCCTTTCTATGGGACACCTGGCTGGTGAGAAGAAAAAAAAAGTCTCTGTCACCTGCACAGTGCATCAGTTAGTGTACAGTTGTGCTTTATTAGGTAAGTCCGGGTAGTTTCTAGAGTGATAGATACTGCTGTTTTATCATGCAAATTATTGTAACTTAAATAGCACCTGGTGCATAATGGGATATTCTGTGTATCTTTTGTGAAGGTAATGTTTTCCAGTATTAGCCCTTGCATCAGCTTCCTCTTAGCCCAATTATGTAAGAAGTAGTGCCTTTTTTGTTCATTTCTATTTATGCATGTGTGTGTGTGTGCTCATGGAGGCCAAAAGAGGGCATCAGATCCCCTGGAGCTGGAGTTATAGGAGTTATGAGCTGCCAAACTTGGTTACTGAATTCAGGTCCTTTGGAGGAGCAGCAAGTGCTTGTAACCACTGAGCCACCTCTCCAGCTCTGAAAGTGTTGTCTTTTTTTTTTTTTTGGCCTTTTTTTGAGACAGGGTCTCCCTGTAGCCCCAGCTGTCCTGGATGGAACTCACTATGTAGACCAGGCTGGCCTTGAACTCGGAGATCCGCCTGCCTCTGCCTCCCAAGTGCTGGGATTAAAGGTGTGCGCCACCACGCCCAGCTCTGTAACCCTTC